TTAAAAAGTAGATGCTAACCTATGTTTTCTGTTCAGTAACAGAGAGAATTGCTTCTTGTCAATCTTCTGTACTCAAAACTGTGATCATGAAATTCTGAGAGCACGAATGGAAAATATTTATGAGGACTGAGGAAATCAATGTCATTCTTGTGGACATATGAAAACTATAGGAATTGAACACAACTTTGAAGACTCAGACTATCCCAACACCAAGGTTGCACTGCTCTAACAAAATGGTAGGGAAATGAGCCTTAGTAAAACACAAAGATGATTTCAGCTAAGATTTTCTTCGTTTAAAATTTTAATGATATATATATAGTCTAAAGAAAATTTATGCCAATTATCTCTCTTGCTTGCAGTACCTTTTTAAATAATGCAGTTTCTGATAATCACAATTTCAACTTAACTGTTGAAGGAAATAACTCCAGTTGCAGATGTCATTCCCAGGGTGCTTCAGGCTACAACGCCTAACATTTTCTAAATCTATTCACAGAATGTATAAATCAGGATTAGATTTCAGTAAGTTTCCCATACTCTGATGGTGATTATCATCATGTGCAATACGGACCAAGATGCTCAGAGGAAGTTCATATGAGTAACTAGATAGACTTAGGAATAAATTCTGTCACTGTTCCCTTTTATAGAGCAGAGGTTGAATCGTCAGTGACTGTGATTGAAAACATTGCTTTGAAAAAGGGCCTATAATGGCAAAAACATATTTAGATGGTCCTTTATCTCAAACATAGAGCTATTAATAGGCTATTTCATCTTTACTAAAAAGAGAGCCAGTAAGAGTCTTACTCTGAACTTACTATCCACTCTTAATGTGGATAATAACAGATCACTACTTAAGCGTTGGGACATTCATCAGGAGAAAAGTATGCCCATAAAACAGGTGTTGAGGGAAACTGAGAACTTCACAGTGCAAAATTTGATTGTTTCTACAATAGTCTAAAATGGGAAATCCCCAAAGAACTAAAAATATTACAGTCTTGAAAAAGAAATTAATTTTTGCACATTTATTTCAACGTTTTTTTCTCTAAAGTTTCAAGTCTTACCTAAACCTGTTTAGGGTATATGACTATAGGTGTAATTATGAACAAGGGAAAGCTAGAGAATAAGAATTCAAGTTTCAAAATTTGTCAATGGAGAATGTGAGACAACATGAAAATGGAACCTTGTGTAAAGCTAGATACTAGCTATTGTCCTTTTTAAAATGAGGTAATGCATATTGTGGATCTTAACTGATTATTGGGAGGCGCAAATAAGATAGACCAGAAAAGGAAAGAAAATCTATAATGTAATTATACAAAATAAATATTTATATAGAATACTGACACATAATATAGTCTATATATAGTATAAAAAGAATATAATTACCGTCTAAGCATCTCTGGAATTTGAGAATGAAAGAACTGTTCTGCAAAATGGGTTATTTATTGCACATCTCATGAAATAACTGTCCATAGAGGACAATACTTATCCAACTGAGAAACAGACTAGATAAGCCAAAGATAGCTGCATAGGCTGTCAAAATTCTCAGAGAAATAAAAAAAAAGTCTAAAAAGTAAATAGGAGCAGTGATTCTTTCCCCTAAAATGGTAGTTAAGACATAAAGAAATTGATTAATTTGAAATAATTGAGGTAGATAGTGTTATATAAGCATGACTTTTTTCTAACATCTATGCATCTAAGAACATTTTTGATCAGATATCATATTTTAATACTTATTTTTCTTGTTTTATCAAGAGTGATCAGTGACTCTTCACTGCCCTGCTCAGTTTGGTCTTTTTTTAATTTTATCTGCTTTCTCTTCCTAAGCCCTGATTGTTTGTCTTGCCCTGTTATTCCATCTTCTCTTTCATGTATATTGTAAATTCTCAGGAGTAAAAGCTTGTTTCTTTATTATAGTCTGTTGAGAGCCTTGCATAATCTACAATGGTTAGTTTAAGTGATAGCATACAAATAAATGATTAAAATGTTATTTATTGCACTTGCATCCTAACAGAAATAGATGATAAATGAATAATAAACATGGATTTTATTGATTTAGAAAAACCATAGAGGAAAATCCTGTTAGTAAACAAATATTAAAATATTTCAACACAATCTATTGAAGTTATCACCAGAAAACCCTCCTGGCTCTGCCTTCAAAGGCAGAATACATTCAAAAAGAAAAAAAAGAATAGAAATGAGCTCTACTGGCTGTCAAAAGGAGGCCTGTGAATTTTGCACTGCCTTAGAGTCCTGACCACAGTAGAAGACTGAATCTTTAGCATTAAAGAGATGTTGCAAAATGTGACCAAAAATAAATGTTTCACGGGTCCACACTTGTTGGAATGGGACATTAGCAGAAATCATATTCCTATCAGAGAGTAACCTTTTTTTTTAATTGTTGAGGAACATGTGAAGAAATGTTTAATACTAAAATATTAATAATTCCAGCCTGAATATTCTCACCTGTATAGTAACTTTTAACCATTGTTACAATTCAAGTTGTACAGGATCCTGTTTGGCCTCTCAACAGTCACAGGACTGGGAACAGAAACTGCAGTTCAGGACTGCTCTCCTTCCAGCGGTATTCGACTGGGCTCTTGGTCAACTAAGGTTCTTGATCTCAGGACATATTCAGTCTTACTTGTAAAACAAAGATACTCGTTGTTAATACACTTGACATTTCATTCATTACATCACAAACTGATTTCAGTACATTGGTGATAAACAAAACTTTAGCCAAATATACCATTATTGTCCACATGCTTTTGTCTACCACTTAAGAACAGTTTGGTTTCCTGGATTCCGGACACAGTTCTGCCAAATGAAAAAAATAAATCTGGAGTTTGAGACATCAAAATGAAGACTTTGAAGTCCAAGTGTACCTACAACTATATTCTGTTTCAAGGAGAGACCCCTGATCTCTGAGCTACTTGGTATGGCCAGAATCATATTAGGGCTAGCTTTTCCTAAAACAGATTGGTCACAGCCATGCCATACATATTTGAAGGCCCCAAACCGAATATGTACGGTGCTGGAACAGCATTGTTTTTCGTTTGTTCCTTAGTTTAATGTAGTGAAGTAACAGTTCGTAGCACAAAATAGCGTCATAGCACAACACAATGGGTAGGTTTTTTTTATAGCACAATGTGCTTTGGATGTCCTTAGTTGTTGTGCAAGAACATTTGAAAATGACTAATACTCTGCTAAGATAATATTGAGAAAGATAGACCCTTTTAGTTTTCATATCTTTATCTTCCTAATTCTATTTGTTTCTAAATCTGACTTCTAATTCCTCAACTATTTCTAGAATCATAATATTCTAAAATAATAATTTCTAAATCTTCTCATGGTTTATCTCATATAATGATTGTACTTACAAAGATGAACTTTAGTCTTTACTCTAACCTCTACCTTCAATATTCTTCTCTTTGCAAATGAACAATCTGCTAACAATAGGTAGTTCACACACGATGTGTTAAGTGGCCTTTCATAGCGTCTTAGAGCAATGGAATACTGATAATGTCCCAGTCACCTAAATCAGATATGCTTCAACATAGAAAGGGAAGATTATGTTTTCTGAGTAATTATAACTAGAAACTTTATTACTGAGTACTTAACTTTATATTTCCTTTTTCAGTTATTTGACTCCTGCAGCATTATCTGTAATCTCAGAATAAATTTGGACCTGTTTTAGACTGAAATAAAATCTAAATGGAATCATCAGGGAAAAGTAATATCAGACTTTCACTCATTGACCAAATCCCTTAATGTAGAGTTATACCTAGGCAAGATCAGATATGAAGATATGCATCTGTCTTTCAAGAAAGATGTGCTGTATACCCACCCAGTTTTCCAGTTTGACTGGTTGGAACACAAATTCTGTTGATTTTCTAAGTCATATAACTGGAGGTGGAACATCACTGTGAGCTCTTTGAAAAGATAAGTGCTGAAGTTGTTCTGTGAGTTTCTGGAACCTTACTGTCATTTACAGATAATTGCAATGTCCAGATACTCATATCGGGTATCTATGGAAGGATAAATAAATCTAATCCAGGAAATAAAGATGGCAACTTAAAAATCCGGTATTAAGGAAATAGTATCCAGTTTTATTTAGGAAAAAACAAACTGATGCTTATCTACTATTGCTTGCCATCAGCATGTCTTTCACCATGGCTTTCTGCACAATGTCAACCATAATGCAGTCCTGAGAGCAGATTAATAAAGAAGAAATTATTGTTTGCTTTTTTGATTTGAAGTTTATTGTTCTGCTTTCAAATAACCAAGAAGTCATAATTATACCTAAAAAATAAGAGAGTAATTGCCACAACTGTATTTAGGTTATTGTTAACAGTAACTTCTATTCATCACTGGGAATAAGAACTTCTGGCAACAGAATTAGGATTTATTTTTTTCTCTCCTAGTTAATTGTCTTTAATGGTTTTTAGTAATCCTCACGTTATTTGTCCTAGGTCAACTTTTGACCAACATCCTTTTTTAGAAACATTCAGGGACTTTGTATGTTTAATTTTTGCTTGAAAGCAAGCAGATTTATTTATCCTCTTTATGTTTTTGCTTCTTTGATTACAGACTATCTGGCCAAGTTTTTCTCTGACACTACACTAGAAGTACCAGAGACAGCACGGTTTCTGCTTGCTAAACATCCACGCCATGAAAAGATGCTGCCTGGGAAATAAATTAGGCATGAATCAGTTTTTATCTCCCCATCTACAACAAAAATGAAATAAATCAAATTATTGTTTAATATTCTTAATTACCTTTTAATGTGTCTCAAGTCACATAGCATATGTCCTATAAAAAAGCACTTGGTTTGGTACTCTGAACATGTCATGTACATGCTAATGATGAGAGATGACACAACCCATTCTTGCCAGAGTCAGAATCCACTGGAAAAAAATGAGTTCTGAGTTGGAGTCCTAAAATTTGCCCATTTTGCCTATAAACTTTCACTCACAAAGAGAAATTGTATGTGTGTGTGTGTGTGCGCGTACATGCACGCACACGCACACGCACACACACACACACACACACATATAATGTGATATATTGAATTGGGCAACATTTACATTTACTAAGTTCTTCATTTTTAACAAGCTTGATATAAGGAGCCTGTTAAATGTCTACAATATGTTCACCTTTCTCAGTGCATAATAAAGTCAAACACATTCTTAGAGCTACCTCCTTGCAAACATACTGGCAAAGAAATGAAATCTTTAAAGGAGTGAACTCATCTGAAAGCGGTGATTGAAAGCATTTTCACATCTCAGGAAAGGAGGATTTTAGCATTACTTGTCACAGACATCCTGTCAGGCCTTCATGTGCTCTAGATAACACCTTTGCTCCAGCTTCTTCAAGCTTCAGGGTGAACTTTTGCCACTGGTTCTACTGTAAAATTAGATTACTGCATTGTACTCATGGGTTGCGGTATTCAAATGATAATTTTTGCTTGCTTCTTGCTATTCACTAGGAAATAACTAGCTCCATATGACTAATCATGTTGTGGGAGTTCAATGCCAAGCCAGCTCCTGCTTGCACACAAAAGAAAATTACATAATTATACTAAATTTTGCAAATCAAAAAAAGTTCTTTTTAATTGCCTTATTTTGTATTTCATTTTCAGAAGACATTTTCCTGTGTAGCTGTTTAGAAAGAACATTCATTATAAAAGTTAATTTTAATTTCTTAAAGAATTTGTTACCAAAAAAAAAAAAACTCTTGTCGTACAGTCCTGAATTCAGGGTTATGTTTTGGGTTTGCCCTCTTTCTTGAGGATCTGATTAAGGAAATTTATTTTTACTGTACACATATCTGATCTCAATTGCATATTTTATTAAAAAGATATACTACTAGGCAAAAAAACAAACAAGCACTGACATTCGTAGCGGGCAATGAACTACATTTAACTTTAAAAAAAATGTTTAAATTAATAAGGAATGGAAAAAAATTACTGAAACATTTTTAAATAGCATGTTATTTTAACAGACAGATGAAAACAGACAGGACTTTCAAAACATCACATCACTGGAGGGAAGAATTAATTAAACAAAATTAATTAAAAGATAAAGTTTTTCCACTTTCTGACATTCATTTTTGTGGGTCTACTTGGAGTCCAACATTGGCAATCCAGCAATCAGCAGGTACTTCTGATGTGTTGCTTCCTAACTTTACTACAGACTGTCACTTTAATCTCTAGAGAATGTCATTGCCTAGAAAGACTGAACTGATAAAAGGGAGAAAAAACAAGAAAATCACTTCTCATTATGGTGATGTCAATTTGGAACCTGACTGGAAGAATCAAAAATCTATCCTTATTTCTTACAACAGAGGAGAACTAGAATTCTCTTGACTTCTTGATCCACAGCTCTGTCTTATTTCTGAAAATACCACAGTTTCACTAAATAGGTTTTCTAGATTGCATGCAAGTGGGAGGAGATGATAAAGGACTTCTCATAACTTAATGATAACCAGTCATAGGATTCTGTTTAGCCAGTTAAGATGCTTCATAAAATGGAATTTTGATGAAGTTTCTGCCCCTTAATTTCCTCTCACTATGCATTCCTAGAAAGGACTGTTACATAAAATACTGGCTGAAAGCTAACCTACACTCTGCATAGTTCAAGATGTTTTAATGGCTCTTGCGAGAGTTAAACACCCTGCTTATATTTACCACCTACTAGCAGGATGGGACAGAAAATAAAATACATGCTGTGAAACTCACTGCTATTTTCTCCCATCCTTGCCACTTTCCTCTGCCTTTGTTTGAACATTTTGCAAAGCAGCTCTCTTTATTTCTCACTTTTTTCCTTTGCCTCTGTACTTCGAAAGCAAAGAAATAGAAATAGTATACAGTTCTTAGCCTAATACTGCATAGGTGACAAAACATTTCTTTTCCGTCTACTTTGGGGACAGCTTTGAGACATGAGCTGCTTGACAGATTCACTCCTGCAGCCTGAATCCTGGCTGAATTCCAGTCTCGTAATTACATTCCACCTACCTAAAATTCTCCCTTTAGTCCAAGTAAGTGGGATAGTGTGCTACCTTCCCATTTTCTGAGCTCTGTTACTTTTCTCATAAACTCCCACCGATATTAAAGAAAAAGGCAGGCAGGACTTGGCTCACTAGTCTAAGAACGTTACATGCAACATAGCAGTTGTTCAATAAAGCTGGTGAAACCAATTCCATAGACCTAGGCTATAATATTGAATCAGAAGCTGTTCCTGACCGATTAAGACAGTGGTTTGTGGCATCATTTAAGCTCCTGCCCTGCTTGATTCAGAGTGGCATGGAATGAAAAACTCTTGATCCTGAATCTGGGACTCACAAGCCAACGGCCCAATACAAGCCTGTAATACCATTCTCGCTCTGTGAAAACAAGTAAGTGGCTCCATTTTCATTTCAGTGGGCAATTCAAGATTTCCAAAACATTATATTTTCCAGGAAAGGGAAGTGTCAGGCACTGATGGACTCTGATGGAAGTTCCAGGAGCATTTGCTGATTAGAAATTAAAACCAGAATGGAGAAGAATAATTGGTAAGAGGAAAAAAAGTGTAATCTTGATACACATCAGGAGAATGGCTAAAACTATGGATACAAAAAACTGATCTTGGAGAAAGGAAAAATCATCAGAATATGAATAGAATGAGAACAATTATGTGAGGTAAAGTTAAGACAGACAACAGGAAGTTATAGAAGAGGAAGGGAGAAGGTTACTTGACATCATCTCTTGCTTAGAGTTTCAAATTTTTTTTTTCTTTTAGCTTGTGGCAGAATCAGGTATTCAGCATTTTCTTTTGTCTGTTATATTCATCATAGTAAAGCTTGTTGTGGCTATATCTGCTCTTAAGTTGACAAAGGGATGTTGTCACTAAATTGCTTTGGTTGACTCTGGTTGCCATCTTGTTTGATATATATTCACACAGAAGATATTCATTTGCCTGCTGAGGAGGAGGAAAGGAAAGAGAGAAAATCAGTGTGGACATGGTGACCTACACTGTGAATTTTACTAAGTGACTTAATAGTTACTGTGAATTTGTTTGACTCTCTTATGCTCTTTCAGAGAAAGTGTGAGAGACCTGATGACTATACGTAGCATGCACACAGATGACACGTTTTCCCCTTTCTGTCAGTGGTATCCTCCCAAGTAAGCACTTTAAACCATCCAGAATGTATAGCTGGCCTGATATGATGGCTAATAGAATGAAATTATGAGCCAGAAATGCCAGTCTTAATTCTGGTCCTTCTTCACCAACTCTTACACTTTGAGGAAAGTCACATAACTTCAATAGGGAACTATTGTACTGGCAGTTAAAAAAAAAAAGGCTTTCCAGAAAAGACTCAGCATCTCTGCAACTTTACAAAATACTACAAAATGAAGATAAGATTTTGCCCACAATTTGACGATGAAAAGTTAACAAAGCCCTTGCTATCTATCTTCTTATGCACTTTAAAAAATGAACAAAATGCATATTGCAGTCATTTTTTTGGTATGGAAATCGATGTCTTTCTACTGTAAGAGCAGAGACTGCAACATTCCAGTCTTAGGGCGTGTGTTAACAACGCAATGCCAATGGCACAAGGACAACGATGTTCTAATATAATATTTATTATTAAGTGTACACCATGCTAACTTGCAGCTACGCTCAGCACTTGGTAAATACAGGCTATTAGAAGTTAGTGAAACCAAACACTCTTTATCAAGTTGAAATTGAGACTTGTCAGCAGACTTTCTCCTGGAGACTCTTTTCAGCTCCTCTAACAGTTGTTCTGTCTGGCAGGATAAGCAACGGTTCCTGCTTTTCCTGGACTTGACTGAATCCCGTGAAGCATTCTAGCTCACTTTCTGTTTGGTTATTAATAACATTTGCATCTGATTTTACCTGATCATTTCGTCTACTGCCTTTTCCTTTTGAATTATTGCAGATGTTTGCCGATTTTATCCAAACTGCAGCTGCCTTTTAAACAAACTACAGATTTATCAGAAAATGCGTCAGACAGAAGAAAATTTCACCAGCAGCAGGTTTTCCAGATGATGAAGAAGACAGATGGTAAGAAAATCTAATTTACTTTTTGTGTGAGGTAGAAGGGTTGTATTCCTCTGGGCCTTTATTCCTGCGCGTGCCACTTTCCGAATGAAACACACCACATGAAGTACTGTATAAAGAAAAACATCATGAATACCAAGTTAGTCCTGACTTGCATAGGAATATAAAAAGCACTGGCTCTAGTTAAAATTGGTTCTAGTTAAATTCTCCTTGGAAATAAGTACTGGTTTGACTTTCTTCCCCTCCCCAAAACACTCAGATAGGTGGCATACACAACCCTAGTCACAGTATTTTAAAGCTATAAACATACTTATGCATCCAAGCAATCCTGTTGGTAATTTCAGTAAAACTGACTGATTGTCATTGTTTCACTACAAAGGGGTGCAGCCTCTAGAATGAATTGACAGAGTTCTGTATTGATTCAAAAAATGAGTAATTCTTTTTTTTTTTCCCTGTTTTAACAAGATATAACTGGAGCAAACTAATTGCCAGAAGTTCAGAGTCACTCTTTGCTATGGAATTATCAAAAGAAAGGAGGAGGAGAAGAAATGGAGCAGGAGCCACTCATGGAATCCCATTCACATCCTGAGCAGAATTTTTTTAGTTTTTCCTTTTTTCCTTCCTCTCTTTTTTCCTTCCAAAATAAATTTATGTTCAGGCAGGAAAAGGGCTACATAAAAATTACAGAGAAAAAACATCTCATTTATTGCTGTACTAACTGTAACAGCTGCTAAATTATTTATGTTTCCCTGCAAATAAAGCTAAAGTAAATTACTAATCTAAATTCTTTTTAAGTAATTACTGATTTTAGGTAAAGATACTGATGGGTATCTTTAGGTACCTAATAGGATACCTAAAATCTGCTGAAGGATCAAATGACTTTGACTATCTCGATCCTGTAGAACTCATTCAAATATTTTTAACACATGAAATTCAAGGAACTGTAGTACTTGATAATAGATATGCAAGAACCTTGTCACCTAAAAAGGGCAGCTTTGATCAACTGGGGCTGTAAACCTCCAATGTCTTTACACATTTTCTCAGTACATCAACTGCAGCATCAGATGCACCCCTTATTAACTTATTTTTGCAAAATAAAAGTACGACAGATATCATTAGATTGATACTATCCATTATCATTAGACTAATAGATAATGACTAGTACTAATAGATAATGTTAAGCAAATCCTAACTTTTTTTGCTCTTCTTTCATTCCACTCTTATGGTATACATATACCTACGGTATAGAGTGAATCTTCTGGCTAGGCATTTTGTTTCAACATCAAGTAACTTTACCATCAGACTTGACAGTAATGTAAATCTGGCATTGCAGTGCCAGGTACCAGATCAAAAATACTGTGGTAGATTCATACTGTCTCACTCCGCTAATTCAAAATTGTTCAAAACATCTGACTAATTTGCACTGGCAGGTTTTTTGTTTGTTCATGCCCGTAGAGGTTAATATGATAGAAATAGAAGCATGCAAATTTGTACTGCCAGATATTCTGATAACGAATAGGTCTGATATGAGGACTATGAAAATAGAGCCTGAATTAGAGAAGAAAGTATGCCTCTGCTAGGCACAAATTTCTAGCATTTCTGTTTCTTTAACTTTTAGACTCCAGGGCAGATAAAATAGCCTTCAAATTTAAGACAAATGAAAACAACAATAAAAATAAATTATATCATTCAATTAATGAATAAGGGAGAATAAGGGTCATATGCAAACCAATATGAACTGGTTTGACCTTATTTACACAAATCTTTGTGCAGCCGTGAGGTGACTCACTGGATATTCAGAGACAGGAAGACCTACAGAAACAGCCCCAGAACCAAAAAGACTTTGTCGCCTAAGATATTTTAGATGGAGAAATTGAACCATCAGAGTTCATATATAGAGCTTGTCAGATGCCGAAGACAAATCTATGCAATCATAGCTGTCTTGGACAGGCATAAAGAAAAAGATGAGTAGTTTTATATTTCACGTATGGACTATACATATTTAAAATGATAACATCATTTTATGAAGATTTTCTGTAAAGCCACTTAGGGTGTGAGTTATGAAATATGAAATAATGAAGAATCGAAACAAAAATGCAAGGCATTGAAAGCGGGGAAAAAATAAATTTACAAGATGTAAATTGAAACAGAACTGTATATGAAACTAGGACAGAAAGCTTGGAAAGAGCACTCTCCAGCCAAACAAACCTGCCTACTGCCAGATACTGCAGAGCAGCAGCACCCTCCATGTTGGTGAACACAGTGTAGTAGGGCACTAGTACACTGATTTCTCTGGCGTGCAATAACATAGCAGGTGCTGTGCAGCGACAGAATTAAACGTTGTAAGTGTCTTCGCTCAGCAGAATCTGCTGCTTCTCCACCTCCCCGTTGTTCTTCTTTTCCACTGTGGATGTTGGAAGAGTGCACAGTCTGGTGATAGAAGTATTGTAATCTTATTTTCTACTGTGTTCACTATGAGGATGCTGCAAATTCACCTACTGTTTCTCTGCTGTGCTATGTAAATCACAGATACTGCTTTTAAAGATTAACTAATATTTTCCTGAATTTGCAGGCAAACTGTTGTCATCTGAGAAGACTCTTCTGCTCAGTCTTATAATCTGTGCGCTTACAGGCATTTTTGTATTATGTCACACTTTAATTATCATCCCCATTGACCTTATCAACTAATCAAACTGTAGCTAATAACTATAACAAAACACATTCTTTTCTCTATCCTTCTGGTGTACTTTTGACTTGATATGAAATGCCGTGTTTTGCATATGCCTACCAAACTCTCGCATAGTTTAATCCTCAGCTTCAGACCTTTGTACTGTATGAAATGTCATTCTTCAAGGTTGAATACATCTGATAAAATACAGAGATTTCTCTTCCGAGCTCCCCAAAATACATCCTTTTCCCTGAAAAATCCCCAAAGCTTTCTGTAAATTATTCTCTTTGTAATTATATATATTCTTTCAACATATGGAAAAGCACTTGCTCAAACTGAGAATTAGCTGTCCGTTATCATTCTGCGTTCCCTCTTTGGAACTCAGACACATGCGCACAGTCCCCCACAGCCCTCTACACTTGTTAAAATGAAACCAATTTGTCTGCTATTCCAGTGCAAGATGTATCAGGGGAATAATGCTTCCAAGAAGTCTGGGAGAGACTGCTTGAGAGATATACAAGCTTTGCCTGTTCAAGATTGGATTTTCTCTTTGGTAGATTTTTACATTTCCAAAATGACCTGGCACAGAAATGATCGCTTTGCTTTGCCTGGTTGAGCATGGTGAATAGTGTATCCTGCTAATTCTCCTGGGGAAGGATACTGAGATAATGAGACATATTCACATATCTAGTTAATATGGATTCACAACTACAATAAATTAAATTCTAAATGCTCTTGTGTTAAAAACACATCTAGGAAAGCCTACCAAAGGTCAGAGACAGATCTCATAAAGCAGAAAAATGGGAAGAAAGAGGAGATATTAGGAGGTGGGAATTAGGATGATTATAAACAAATAATTGCAAGTTCTGTCTTAATCTTTATATGCACCTAGCTTCCTGTGTCTATCATTCTAGCTTCTGAGTGCCTTCAAACATCCTCTGGGACGTCTTTAGAACTTACTAAATTCCCAGGTAAAATAAATCATTAAACTACAGTTAAACTGAATGGTTAAAGTATAGTCTTTAAAGCAACTGAGAATTGATAAGTCATTGCAGTTCCGTGCTTTTTCAGCCTAGGAATTTACTTAGTTACCATTTTTAAACTTATTTCTTGTATATAGTTACAAATACTTTTAAAAATTAGCTTTCCTTTGTAGAATAAAATCTGAAATTTGTCCTCCATAGTTCACTTTCGAGTTTAAGAATCCCTAAGCCTAAGACAACAGATATCTTACATTTGGGAGGGCCATCACATAGCTGTCCCACTTGCGTTTAGAATGTCATAAATCTGAACCAGAGAACACTGATTTTAATCCTTTGCATTTTTCTGATGCAAAGTTTAATCCTCAGTCCCTGTAGTAACCATTGTTTTTATTCTGCATATCTGATAATTTATGGATATGGGACCTGGAGGTTTGTGTCTACACATGCAATAGTGAATAATGACACTTGTGTAACTGCTGATGTGTACTGTACTTTCTGGGAAGTGTGTAGAATAGTTTTTCTTAGTATGCTTATTTTATGCAGGAAGAGGCAAAGTATATCTTTTTCTGTACATTCTGTCTGCCCAAAACATATCAGTCAGAACTCCTGACAGTTTCCGTTTGTTGAAAATGTGAATGCAATTTGGCTTAGTCATCTACTGCATAGAACTAATGTAAAATAGAGAATATATTATATGTTCGTTTTAAGCATCACTAACTATACAAAGAGAACATATCATCGGGGCAAAGTATAGAGTTGCAGTTGTTTGGGTACAATGGAGTTGCTATATATGGATATAATGAATATTCATCTGTTTAACTGGTAATAATCTTACCACTACACTATAATGATATCAAGAACAGCCTATATGTAGGGACTTTAAATGCATTATTCCCCCTATTGAGTTATTGAATCCCTTTCGTAACAGTTTCGCTCTACAGGCATCATTTCAGAACCAGCTTGTTGTAAGCACTTTAGTTACACCAGCCACTACACACCTTGTTTGAAGACAGAGCTAACTGTTTCCCTTTCTTGGCATCAGCTGTTTGAAGAGCAGTGGGATATAGAGAGAGGCAGAAGTTTCTTAAATCAGTAGATTATATTGTGTCAAATTGAAAATGAAACGATACTCGTATCTGGACTTCTTAACAATTTAGGGCTATGGTAACTGAAGAGCATTCCCTTTACCCAACTTAGATCATATCAGGCCAATGCCTCAAGTTTCTGCTATTTTGTGAGGTTGTTGTAAATATCAAGAAATTGTGCTGTTTTGGCAGCTAGTTAGAGAATTTCTAAAATTGTTATTGAAAAATATCCTAGAGATGTTTGATTGAAAGAATACAGAATTCCTTACTCTGTATGAAGTTTTGAATTTAGAGAAGGTGGCATTGTTCAAGTTAATTGCAGTAGCAGTGAGAATTTTGAAAGATACTGTCAGATACTGTCAGACTTTTGTCT